CGTACAGCCACATCTACAGTGAAATGTATTAGCTCAAAGAAATGTGTGCCACACTCTCCACTTTTGTTTTGTATTTGTAAAAAAAAAAAAGCCATTCGTCATTTTCTTTCAGCTTCACTGTAGTAGCGTTTCCATTACAATCTTTGTCTGTTTTCTGCTAATGTCGAAAAGACACAATTTTGCAATGGCGGTTTCCTTTAAATAAGAAATTAAATGAAAATCACACGTGAATAGGCTCGCTCACGTGACGAGTCATTAAAAATCCTGGCAGCGGTAGATGCAAACAGTTACATGAGGTCATATTGATAATTCAGCGATGACGCCACCACTCGTCATCCATCAGCCAATCAGAGGATGTTGGCGTCAAATTCAGGAGCTGGAGCAACAAACCTCTCATAGTTTGGGCAAACTGTAGTAGACGATTTTACAGAAGAGCTATGGATTCAACACGTTCAAGTGACACACAACTTTTTATGAACTGTGTGATGCTGTGTGAGCTCTGGTACGAGTTATCTACAAAAATAAAAAATAAAAATGAAGATGGACTACAACTTCCTGTCGTCTTCTTCGTGGTTTTTGCGAGTAGTAACATCCGGATGTCGACCCTGTGAATTGTGTAATGCGGAAAAAAACCTCTCCATTCCATTTTTGTGATTTCGATACAACTGAAAAACTACAGTATTGGTACCGTATCTGTAGCTTTTCAGCCAAAAAAGCGTAAAAATATTTTGAACTAAAAATCTGAGTTTTTTTTAAATTGCAGTGTTTCCATCCATCCTTCCATCCATTTTCTGTACACCTTTGTCCCTTGTGGGGTCGGGAGGGTTGCTGGTGCCTATCTCCAGCGAACGTATCGGGCGAGAGGTGCGGTACACCCTGGACAGGTCGCCAGTCTATCACAGTGCAGCGTTTCCATTAAGCAAATTTATTTTCAAAAAAATTCTATGGTCAATGAAAATGCACCTAATAATACACTCTGGCCTATTACAGATAATGACAAAAAGCGACATCATAGTTCAATGGTTTTTCCGTGACAAAAGGTTGAAAAAGTTCACCTCATTGGTAGACTTAAGTAATAACACCTACACCTTTCCCTACCAACACACAGGCCTTTTAAACCCAATCAACGCACCGCGAATGAGAAGCAGCGCATCTCGATTCCAGCACTCCACATGTGAAGTCTCCAGAGCTTCTGATGCATTGTACTTTAATTAAGCAGCCCACCCCAGCGAAGCACACAAACCCCCTCCAGGTCCCTTTATGTCCTCTGAGGTGCCTCAGTGGAGGGCCAGACACACTCTTCTTTTTTCTTTTTCTTTTTTTTTTTCACTGCCTTTGTCTTCTCCATCTCACGACTCCCACTGGTGAGGCCACGGTAGCGTCCCATGTGTTATTATCGGCCAATGATAAAGTAGCTGCCACAGCCCTCATGCATTATGCAGGAAGAAAAGGAAGGAACTCCTCCCCCAGTTATGTAAATCAAACTTATTTTGTAAAGGGGGGGTTGTGGATCTTGACATCAATTTCTCTTCCCCACCCCACAATGATCTCCTCACTGGAGGAGTTGGTATCACAAAGGCAGTGTGTCAGTATGTGAAAGAAGACAAATCAAAAGCAAATCCTAATTATGCTGCGCTACTGATACACATTTAACTTGAGGAAGGATATGAAATCTTATGAAAAATCCTCTAAAGTAAGCCTGGAATTTATAAATAAGGATTGTTATGACATACTGTCTGATCTGTACACTTCAGCTAGCAAAAGAAAAACACAACACAAGCAACAAAATCTTGTATATCCTATTTTTAAATCTTTTAAAAAGTTCTTGGGCCTTCTGCTCAAACTGTAGCTCCTTCTTTTTCTCAATGAAGGAATAACTTCATTGTTATTAGTGAACAATTAATATGTCTTACATAGAGCAGCTAACGCTCTATGGCTAACAGCTAGCATGGGGGTGCCCAAAATTCAAAACGGACTTCTACCCTCCAATCTTATACAAGTTTGTAAAAACATTATTTATTCTTCTACACTTTAAACCATTACAGAGTTTCCATTGAGAGGTTATTTACGCATAAAGCAAGGATTATTTGCACTGGAATTGGAGGTTAGAGGCAGTGCGCCACCAGTGATCTTCCTGAGTGAAACGTGTGCTGAGAGTGGAACATGTGAAGCGTTTCCGGTAAAAGCAAAGTCCGACATAAGAAGTATCGTGCAGAAATGAAAAATAAACTTTGGAAGTAGCAAGAAAAAATTGTGCTTGATTATTTCTTTATTGTAAAAATACTTTTTGTGAATTAATGTTATGACAATGGAAACTTGAAACTTTGTTAAATCATCTAAATGTCAAGGCCAGGCAACTTATTCTGCTATTGACTCTTGTTTGGTGTTGTTCATTAGTTTAGAAGATTAAAGTCAGAAGAAACAAAACTTTTTGATTAACAATTGTACACTGCTCCTCCTGGTTCTGGACACAGGCTTGGTCAAACATTTCTGTGGGATAGCAACACTTTCTTCAACCAGCCTTTGCTGCAAGTCGGTTAATGTGGTGGTGCCGGTCAGCACACTACAGACTGATTCCACAAGTGCTCACTAAGGTTGAGGTCAGGTTTCCACAAAGGCTGTAGATGCAGTCACTGCTAAACATCGCTATAGAAGGATGCACATCAATATCCTGGGGAATAGAGTAATGTTCCCTAAGACTGGTGATTTGAGATTGCTACGAGTTGCAAAATTTCATTTTGATAAAATTTTGGGACTGCCTCCAGCAGAGACAGGTCTTGTTTTCCCAGTGAAGGAGAGACCGTGCCAAACCTTCACCTGTTTTCACCTACAGCTGTTTACCACTGTCAGACAGGATTTGGCAAGTTTTTCACGGATACAACCCACATACTCAACCCTGCTGCTGAATCCACAAATGATTCTCCATGCAAATGTGGCACGATTTCAAGGGAATTTAACAGGTTTTCCGGTGGTCTAAGATTAACTGAAGGGAAGAAATAGTCCAGATCGGAAAAGCTACCTTATTATCTGTTTTTAAGATTGGAGTTACTTTAAAAAGGTTGAAGTCCAGTTTGATTGACCACTTGTGAACTAGCTGCAACCTCACCTGCAACCTAATTTGAATTTATACCACATGAAGATACAAAGGACACTGTGTCTTCCGTCTCAGCGCATAGTTTGATACCTATGGCAGGTAAGAGATTATAATAAGTTTACCACCCAGCCATGACTGAAACAAACTCTGTCTGTATCTATAAATAACCCATTCTGGGTCTTGATAGGCCTTGTTCATAAACCACGCCACCGATGAAAACTCTACTGCATTTCCTTATGTTGTGGTTGACACGAAACACTGTCTGCCTCTTTGCTGGCACAGACATGGTCTCTGCAATACCTTTTACATTACCACCCAATGGGCTTAATAGACTCCAATCTGGTTTTGACTGAAATCTCCGAGTAAACATTCTCAGATGGACACAGACATCCACGGCTCCCCAGTGACACTTAAAACCTCTGTGCAATCTTAAATTGCCCAGTCACCCCGCACGCTGCAGTCAAACAGCAGCCACCCAATTTGATTGTGAATGACCGTGCCGTTGTGCCATCGAGGTTAATGCCCTTCTTTCCAGGAAGGAAGCCAGATGCCCCGTTTGATCCAGCATGAGATACATCACAATACTGTATTCATGATTTGATTAGCTGTTTTGAATAAAATTTGAACCTTCCATGTTAAGGCAACACACTGCGGTCAGAGTGTGTGGGGGGTGTATTCTGCCGGTACGGGGTAATACTCTTAGAGCAGGTCTGCAGGCTCAGTAGGTGAGTGTCTATGACACTGTGTGCTGTCACTGAGCCAAACGGACAGATTCATCGTTAGAAAGACGAATATTAATCAGGTCCTGGCTCAGGCTGTCCTGATATTGAGGCAGATGGTATCTGACAAACAGGAGCCACGTGGCCATGGCTCTATCTATCTATCTATCTATCTATCTATCTATCTATCTATCTATCTATCTATCTATCTATCTATCTATCTTTTTTTTCAATAATCAAAAATAGTTTTAAAATAACTTACTCTAGCTGATTTTATAAGGAGTGGTTAGACAACTTTGAGATGGCGCACCACAATCAAGTCAATTTCAAGAGTTTTATTATCCTCAGGTCATAATAAACTAATATTAATATTTGCAGCTCGCTATAGTTTGTACACCTAGGTTTCATCATTCATGCTCATAAACTTTTTTCATCTTGGTTACAGCAAGAAATCTGTGGGGAGTCAGTAGGGGTGTTGTCCCTTGTTCCCTCTTCTCTTTGGAGGCACCGGTTCACTCAGTTTCTTACTGTTTCATAAAAGTACGTCAACTTTCTGCTAGTGATTTTAAACACATCAAATTAAATAAATAAACAAGAAGGGAAATTTGAGTGTTTCACTTGTATGTTGTCTGTATGCTAACTTTGAGAATACGAGTTTGATAAAGTTCACACCGTACTCCATGCAATTTTTCTCAAGTTCATGGTTTTGCACGTACTGTGAGCAACAGGAAAGTGAAAAAACAGATACTACTTGCTTGCAGTAATGTCTAAGCGACAGTTCTTCCTTCGGGAATGGATTTGCACGCCAAAACTATGTGGAATTAATCCGAAAAAAACCCTTCTAGGTGGCTTAAAGGCAACTATTTTCAGACGTTTTCCGGCAACAGACCGCATTCTATAAGAATCTGTAAAAGTGTGAGTAAAAATAAAAACGTTTGTAAATTTGTAGGAATACGTCAGCCGAATTCTATAAACGAACCACTTAAACACCAATTAACTCGAACTGCAATGTTGTCTTGTGGGAAAAATTGGTAAAATTGGACAAAATGTATAAATGAGCATAATCCCTATGGAGTCTGGCCATGTTGCCTTCATAGTGGCTAGAGCGGAGAAACGGGAGTCGGGGAGGTCGGGGGGCTGGGGGGGGACGTGTCTATTTTTTCTTTTATTTTCTCTTTTTATTTTACCTGTGACATTTGCGGCCGGAGGTTGATCTCCTTCAGGTTGATGCACTGGGGCTTCAGGTTGTTGAGCAGATGGCACAGGAGGACTCCATCCCGGAGGGTCTGAGCCAAGTCAAATACCTGCGCTGACTCCCATGTCACCCTGTGGTTAGGAGGGAGCACCTTGCAGTTGATCAGCCACAGCGCGCACTGCCTCCAATACTCCATCATTATTCTGTCTTCAGCCGGAGCGAGTTCTCACGCGTCTCTCCGTGTGTGTCTGTGTGCGTGCCCGCGCGCGCGCGCGTGTGTGTATATAGACTCAAACTGCTAACGGTTCGGCAACACCTCTCTCGCGCCTTTCAGTAGACCGGACCCATGCCGGATCCGTCCCAGCGTAAAACCCGACGAGGAGAGTAAAGGGAACCGCGGCGGATAGCTCCTGGGAGATGCGTGGCGGGCGCTCCACGGATGACGAGGTCCGGCGTGGCGAGGCTGAAGCGAGACTGTAGATGGAGTGCGTCCTGCACCCTTCCTTTCTCGCTCTCTCTCTCTCTCTCTCCCTCTCTGTTTGTTTCTCTTCCCTCCCCCTCACCCTGTTCACCTCTTCCGCTTGCCACACGGGCTCATTGAACAGTACTGTGACAGTACAGCACAAGAAATAACATGACTTCACACCTCGTAAGCTTCAAAAGTGAGGTAAAGACAACATTGTTTTTTTTTTTGTTTGTTTGTTTTTTTTTGGTTTGTTTGTTTTTCTTTTTCTTTAAATTAGGTTGTATTGCTGCCAGTTCTATTACGGAATCATGAAAGAGCTTGAGTGCATGCAAATATTTCAGCAGCTCAGACAGCATATTACAGTGCTGATCAATTCATCACTGAACAAGCCAAGCACAGAGCCACTTTCCTTTACCTTAACACTATTCTAGTGCATCTTAATAGGAATTTCATTATGTCGTACAATTCAAAAACTGAAAGACATATTTGATACACAAGATTATGGCAACTTGTATGTCTTGCAACTAACGAAAGGTCAAATTACGTTTCTTGGAAAATTAGAAATATTAGGGTATGTATTAAAAAAAGATTTTGTGTGATTGCATGGTCGACATGATTTTGGAAAGAATACAAGACAGTCGCTGAGACCTTGTACAAGGAGGGTAAACCACAAAACGTCCTGACAAAGAAGCTGTCTTTATATAGTGCTGTGTCCAAATACATAAAAGTTGAGTGGAAGGGAAAAGTGTTGCTGAAAAAGACTTTCATTACATAAAAATGAGCTTACTAAAATGTATTTCCATGTACTGTGCAGCGTATGGACTGATTGGTTGAGACTCTTTTTTTATGTACTATTGCATCAAAGAATCATTAAGTCCTCTAAAATTATTTTTTTCATTATTAGCATTAGCAAAGAAAGTGAAGGTACAAGTTTAAATCCCAAGTGATCCCAAGTGTTCACGAAAACCATTAGAGATGATCTACATTCCTAAGGATTTCTAGAGAGATGGTTGTTAATATCTTTGTTTTTATGTCACAAATGTCAACGTGTGGAGTCAGTTGAGATTTGACAAAGTGGCTCAACTAAAGTGTTGCATTGGAAGAAAACAGATAAACTTTTTCCCACTGTCAAAATGCAGTTTTATTCAGATCAGCAAATGCATGATATCTACTGACCTGATGATTTTTAGGGGGAGTATAAACAGCAAACATCTGATTTTTTTATTATGTTTTTAACATTTAGTAACTCTTCCTCATTGGGAAGAGTCTGCAACACCTTAATTGTTTCTCCTTTGTAGGGTATAAAAACAGTGACTTCTGCTTTTGTTGCCTCCACGTTTCACTCTCAATAGACAGCAGTTGCAAACATGGCGTTTGGATGTTTCTGCAACTCACCAGAAGTGGAGAAGACAGTCACGGTTCCATTAGCAACAATGTCGACTTAGAATTTCACCAAAAAGTTCATTAACTTTAGTTTTTTGATTCAAAAAGGGAAGCTCATATACAGATTCATCACATACAGAATCTGGACATGGCTTGGCTAGTGTCAAGTCTAGCTTAATGAATTTCTGTGGCTCACAGTGGCATATGAACAATCATCCTTTAGCATTTCTGAGATATTAAAGAGTTAAACTTGGCCAAAAGGTGGCCTTCAACTCAACAGTTTGCTCATCAATCAAATATAGTCATTCAAATTCAAAAATACTTTATTGATCCCAATCGGAAATTAAATATATTGACCGTACTATGGTCAATAAAAATGGTAAGAGATGACTATGCACACACTCACACAAAAAAAACCTAACAAAAAATTACCTGACATAAACAACAGTCCCATTGTCCCATATTTACTAAAAACATGAGTAAAAACCATCTCAGCTATCTGGGATAATGCAGAGAGAAAACAATACTGTATCTAAAGAATAAATGGGAAACAAAACTTAAAATAACAGTTGAAGAATTATCCCAAACGTGAGAAATACAGCAAAGCATAATAAATTCATTCATTCATTCATTCATTCATTTTGCTGGAAGACTTGAACAAGATTTCTTAAATCAAAAGTAAACAGACTTCTGCATTTTAAGAATGCTGGGGGATCATGTGGAGAAGTAGAAGCCAATCAGTCACATATTTTTGGAGATGAAGAAAAATAACTGGGCATTGTGAGCAAGTTGAATCAACATTGATTAAAATTCTGGGACATACGATCCCAAATTCTTAAAATATGATGGATTCTGGAAATATGACAATGGTGAGTAAAAAAAAAGATATGCTTCCGTCAAAGGTAATGATTAGTTTAAAAAAAAAAAAAAAAAAAAGGGTAAAATCAAGAAGTTGGTTGAAGCCAGATGATTGAATCAGGATTTTGGGAAGAATCTGAGTGATGGAAAAAAATGACAAATAATCTTTGACTGAATCAAAAAGTGGGGAAAATGGAGCCTCCTCCAAAGTGACACACACAAGACTGTAAATAAAGCTGAATGAATAATAAATATCATTATCAATATACAGACTGTTGAGCACTTTTTTGTTTCTGTTTTCTGTTTGGCTATTTGCACAAAAAAAATCTATAGAAATTATGGTGTATATAAAATGAATCAAGGTTCTTACAGATTGACATGCTTTTATACCAAGGTCTTTGTTTTTGCTACAGAACAATAGACAACAAGACAGTTTTTTTTTGCATGCTTGTTATTATTATTGATATAAATGCTACAGACAGCATCGACTGTTACCGGCGTAGAGATAGAAGAGAGGAGGAGAGAAATAAATTCCCTCACAGTTGCAGATGTTCCTTCTTTTTTATGTGGATGAGGCTTTTTGTCCAGTGTGACTTCGCTGATGATACATTAGCCCAGAGGAACCTTTGAATCTCTTGTCACACTGATCGCAACTATAAGGCTTTTCACCAGTGTGACTTCGCTGATGAATCTTTAGACTAGAGGAATGTTTGAATCTATTCTCACACTGATCACAACTATAAGGCTTTTCACCTGTGTGACTTCGCTGATGAATCTTTAGCCCAGAGGAATGTTTGAATCTATTCTCACACTGATCACAACTATAAGGCTTTTCACCTGTGTGACTTCGCTGATGAATCTTTAGCCCAGAGGAATCTTTGAATCTCTTCTCACACTGATCACAACTATAAGGCTTTTCACCAGTGTGACTTCGCTGATGAATCTTTAGACTAGAGGAATCTTTGAATCTCTTCTCACAATGACTGCAGCTGTAAGGCTTTTCACCAGTGTGAATGAGTTGATGAATTTTCAGATTCCCCTTCCGGCTGAAATGTTTCAGACATTTGTCACAACGATGTTTCTTCTGCAGGCTCTGGGTGAGCTGAACCTGCTGTCCATTGCTGGGATCATCCGCAGCTTCACCTGGGGTCGTGCAGATTTGGTTCTACGAATAAAAGTAGAGTAATTATAACAGAGTGTAACTATGATGTACAAACACCCTGAAAGTCAACAGTTTAATTTTATGGCAAGCATAAAAAATCAGAACACATCTCCCAGTTTGGCTTATTCAGGTGCAAAACTATACATTCACTTTTCTCTCTGACAAGCCATGGATTTGAAAACTGTTTGAATATTTCATAATGGCTCTTAATTATATGGTTAAAAATGCTGAAGAACCAACTGATGGTCTTTTAATGTAGACATAAAACACAAAAGTACATTTTAATGAAATTTAATAGAACAATTACAACAGATTGACAAGAAAGGCACCAATCTAAAATTGGGCATATCCAACATGATGGGTTGTCTTGGTCCGATTGTGAGGTTTCCCCCCTCAACTAGGAGCGAGAAGGCAGCCTGTTTTTAAAGCCAATCAGAAAGTGTGATAACGTAAGCATCTATCGCAATCCCAAACAAAGGACAGCTGACACTGTGCAATTGAGAGCTTGGTGGACCTTGGAGACGTAGGACTGTTGAGTGGATAATAATAAATAATAAAAACTGCAACCGCAGTTGATATACCTTGTAACTTTTCAACTATCCATCATTAACGTGACATAAGGCGATTATAATGATAAGTTTATTCATTCAACCGGAACTTGATGCTGACACTAGCAGCATGCATGACAGGTAGATTGTAGATGTGACTAGTAAAACATTTACTAATGCCTGGTTCACATGGCAATATTTTGAAATTAGTGAACTTTTCTTGTACCCATTTTTTTCAATGTAAACATTAAAGTAGCAAAAAATTAATCATATAAGTGACCGATGACACTAAAAGAAACTGCAGAACACAGTGTAACAAATGTTAATGAGGAAAAAACAGAGTAATTCAACAGTCAGGGTTTCCCCCAGTGTATAATAGGTTTGGCGGCCCGCCCTGCTTTGCTAGCCCCACCGCCAGGTTAATCCTTCTTGTTTATGTTTTTAGGAAAATAATAATAATAAAAAAAATTGCTTTTTTTTTTTTTTTTTTTTTTTTTAAACCAGATTGCAAGCGTCTCTATTGCTCTGAGTGTTTCACTGGCGGAGCAGACTTATTACTAAAAGATATGTTTATAGAAGATAGATTTATAGTTTATGCATCAATTTCCCACATGTTTTAATTACTAACCTCTTCCAGTGATGTCACAGTGTTGCTAGCACCAGACTTCTCTTCCAGTTGGAGTTTCTCCATTTCCTTTCCTGCGTAAAACAAACACACATCGTTGATAATCGACGTAAGGGTACGGGTTTTTGATGAGGAAACTTAGCAGTGGAGGCCAGAGTGAGGTGAGAGTGCTTCTTTAACATGGACAAAAGCCCAAAAATACACTCGAAAATAACAGCCACCAACAGGGCACAAGAGCAGCTCAGTGGAACACAAAAAGCAAACACTAAATCACAAGTAGAAAAGCAATACAGGCACAGGTCTGTAAAAATCAAGGGAAAAATCAAGGAACGAGGAACAGATGAACCTGATAAAACACACAGAGACTCACTTAACCAAAATACACAAACAACGAGAAAAGGGTCAGGAAAATAATACGTAAAATAAATGTGAAATGACATTGTTTTCACAGCAATGGCAACAGTTTCTGGTATAGTTGAAACCAGATATTTATACACCATATAAGACACAACCTTATTTCTCACCATGCAACTTTAAAACAGTTTTAATTTCCTGCTTTAGGTTCGTTCTAATTACCAAAATTAATTATATTCCTTAATTTTCTTAGCACATTTATGGTATAGCTCTACATATTTTGCCAAACGAATTATTAAACATCAGTATGAGTTATTACATATATATGTGACAAATAAATAAACCTTTACTTACAGTCTCTTTGAGGGACCTCCGCAGATTTATCTTTGTCCAAATATTTACTTTTGGCAGATGCTCTTATGGTTTCTATGGTAACATTGTTCAAAAGATTATAGCTACGTAAACATTCAACTCTGTATTATTTTTCAAAAAGTCACTCAGTTGTGTTATTAGACCAATTACAGACTTTATATTTGTGTGCAGAAGTTAAACGTTACATTTCTTTCATTTTGACAGATCTGTCAAACCTGTTATGGTTCTCGTTTCCATGGAGATTGGTTGTTTTGATTCTTTAGGTCTGAGTGTAACCATCACAGCAAACAACATTTATTACATTTTGTTTTGCAAATGTCGCTGCTTTCCAAACAAATTGTGTTTATAGAACTCAGCCAGTAAAGTCCATGAGAAAAACCGTCACAGATTCATCCCTTAAGCCGTTTTCGCACTGCAAGGAACGGAACGGAACGGTTCCACCCGTACTGCAGCCCTGTTGTGTTTGCATATACGCTGAGGGAGCCATCGAAGCGGTACCTAACGTCATTATTTTTGAAACTAAACAATGGTTTCGATGTAGCGGCCGAAGCCTTTTCCTCACAGATGCGGCGGATAACTTTCTCTTTCCTCGTTGACCGATCTAGTTCATTCTGTACTCGTTGATCAGTACCTCATCATTAGACCAGGTGATTGCACTATATTGAGAGGAATCCATTGCTAATTAAAACTAATAATAAAAATATTGAAAAGAGTGAAAAAATACAGTTTAGTGAGAGCCAGCTGTCAACGGAAAATCAACGTCTGACTCCATAACAACCAGTGGCCAATCAGCTGCTGATTCTAAGCAGAACCGCTTGGCCGCCGTTCCGTACCTTTCAGTGCGAAAACAGCTTTAGATGTTCATCCATCCATTTTCTTTACACCCTTGTACCTTAGTGGGGTCGGGAGGGGTGCTGGAGCCTATCTCCAGCTAACGTTCCGGGCGAGAGGCGGGGTCACCCTGGACAGGTCGCCAGTCTGTCGCAGGGCAACACACAGGACAAACAACCATGCACACACACACACACACACACACACACACCTAGGCCAATTAACCTGACAGTCATGTTTTTGGATTGTGCATGCACAGGGAGAACATGCAAACTCCATGCAGAAAGGGTAGGAATTGAACCCAGAACCTTCTTGCTGCAAGGCAACAGCGGGAATTGAACCCAGAACCTTCTTGCTGCAGGGCAACAGCTCTACCAACTGCGCCACTGTGCAGCCCACTTTAGATGTTTATTAACCTTTTTAACAATTCTTTTTAAATCATCATGCCACAATATTTTTTTTATATGACAATTTTATATTTAGAGGGTAAAAAGCAGCCCAAACCAACCTACCATATATGAAAAAGGAACTGTGCCTGAAAATACAGTATCTGATCACTTTAAATGACCGAGCAAGGAAGAGTGTAAAACCATGGGATGCAACACAGGATACATCTTATGTATTGTTAAATTATCAAAAAAGAATGCAGTGCAAAATGGTAGGAAAAAATACTGTGTATGTACCAGGCACAGAAAGAGGCAATAAATAAGTTTGTCAAAGCCTATCCAAAAGCGGGAGAGGAAAGTACTGGTGCTAATCATATTAACAGTCACAGAGAGTAATTTTTACAGTGGCTTCTCATCAAAACCTCTGTACTCCACAAATAAACAGTTTAAAACAACTGGAACTATGGCTGCATTCACACTGCAGCCTGAAATGACCCAATTCCAATTTTTTGTCAAATCGGGGTTTTTTGCCGGGGCTGTTCACACTTCCAAACATATGCAAACTGTTTGTGTTCTACAATCTGAAAGTGTCCCGCATGCGCAGTAGAGGGCGCAATAGCGTCAGCATTCTCACTGTTCTGCCAACCATAGATATGATTATGTAGACGCCTCATGGGGCGGGTCAGCCCGTTGCTGCGATACGACACAACGTCCGCCATATTGAATGCGGCTAATCTGCCAATAAGCTAATACAGGTAAATGGACCGAACATTAGCTACATATTTTTTCTTACTTTTTTTGAAAAAAAAAAAAAAATTATATTACTGGATGATAAGTCATCTCTGCTATGGACAGCAAAGGCAGAGTTAAAATATTCCAACAGAGTAAATTATTTTTATTTCATTACATAAGCTGTCTTAATACACTAANTTTTGTCACACACACATATTGGTGTGTGTGAGATTTGGCAATCACAGAAATTACTAAAGAGAGAGTTTCTAACTTTTGATGTGATTATTTAATTGTTTTGGGGCATTTCTGAATAAAGAGCACAATGTTTTTGTTTGATGGAGATTATTCTGATCATTTTTATATTAACATTGATGAACAGACACACTTTTACAGTGTTTAATTAAAGAACATATTTACATAATTCCATAATTTAATGTACATTTAATGTTTCAAGACAAGAAAAATAATTTTCTTGTATTTATTTTTATACATTGAGAAATTATTTTTGATTTATAAATCAGTCACTCAAACATTAAACTACATATTTTTCTTACTTTTTTCCAGATAAAAAATATTTATTACAGTATACATCAACTCTGCTATTGACAGCAAAGAGTGAAAATAATTCTAACAGAGTAAATTATTTTTATTTCATTACATAAGCTGTCTTAATACACTAATACTTCAGATTGAGATATTTAAAAATACACAAAAAGTGAAAGAATAAAAGTGTGCAATAAAACACAAATTTATTTATTATACTGGGAACACTGGCCACAGGCAGGGCTTCAGTCTGCTAGTCAAAGTGGGAGAACTCCAGTGACTTCTGAGACGTCCTGGCACACAGGCTAAAGCCAAAGATAAAAGAGAAATTATCCAAAAGTGTAATAGAAAATACATATCTGATTCCTTAACATTCAGGAAAAACATATTTTCAGCATGTTGGGCAGTAACTCGTAGCATCTTTAGTTAAATACCGACATTGTGAAGCTGAGCTGTGAAGTTGTCAGAACACTGGTTTGTTAATAAAGTTTGACTGACCTATCTACCTACCGACCGTCTATAATCAGGTCGTCTGCAGGTCATTTAGCACCACGTTCTCCACGAACATGCTGTGCGCGAACAGAGAAGGGTGACCATCGTCCGGGATACATATAGGATATGGGTCGCATTCAAAAAGAATCCGACCTGTGCTGTTCAGACTATTACGAAAAGATCGGATGCAGGTCACATTACGTAAAAAAAAAAAAAATCGGAATTGGGTCACTTCAGCCGGAGTGTGAATGCATCCTATGTCACAAAAAGGATGGTTTTTGAGTTTATCTCACCACCATTTGGCAAGCAGGATTGTAAGAAAAAATAATCCAAACACACTGTTAAAGACGTGCAGCAAAGAGTTGCAATTTTAAGTGTTAAGTGTCCTTAAAAAACATTAGGGTCTATCTACTCCAAAAGATTTCTAAGGAGGAATGGCCATTTTTGATATTTTGTAACTCTTCCTCATTGTGTTGCTGATAAAGTCAGGTTTAGTCTGCCACCTTAATTGTTTCTCCTTTACGGCAGTCACTTCTGCTTTTGTCGCCTCCACGTTTCTTTGGCAACAGTCTGTAATCTCACCAGAAGTGGAAAAGACAGTCTCGATTCATGTCAGTTCAATTTAAAAAAATGACTTTACAGATCCCAAAATGGGAAATTAAATGTTGTTGCAACTCATATTAATTCAGATACTTCAGACAGTTCTTGTAGTGCTGGCTGTTGGCAGGAAAGGTCTCTTGTAGCAGTCTGTATTACAGAAAATCAGACGAATCCTCTGACTGAAGGCACTCTGTTGTCCCAAAACAGTCTCATGAAGAGGATGGTCAGGGTTGTCCATAATTTTATTGATTTTATGAAGAATCCTTTGCATCATCTGCATCTGCATCTGCATCATCATCATCATCATCATCATCATCATCATCATCATCATCCCCAGAGGTTCCACTGTCGTCTCCAGAACACAACCAACCTTCCTGATCAGGTTGTCGAGCCTTTTTAGGTTCCTGGCTCCCCAACAGATGACGGCAGAAGAGATGACGTTCTCAACAAAAGACTTAAAGACCTGCAGCATCTTGCAACAAACGTTGAAAGGATCTTAGCTTCCTCAAGAAGTACAATTTGCTCTGTTCCTTCTTACTGAGGGCATCACCGCTGCATCTCCAGTCCAGTCTGTCACACACAGATGGCTGTCTTTGAAGCAATTTATTTAAGTAATTTTGTTGACTCTGGCTTAAAAGCTAGGGAAAATTAGAAGGCTTTATCAAAAAAGTTGAGTGAAAGGAAAAACTAGCCTATTGAAGAGTACTCTAAGTAGATGTATTTTATGATATATGACACTCTGCGCATTGTGAGGGCTAGCTTAGTGAATGTTAGCGGTTCACTCTGGCATAGGGACTATTACCCTTTAGCATAAACAGACTTCCACTTTACAAGAATGTTGGTAGATTATGTGGAGAAGTAGAAGTGTTCACATTTCTTTTGGAGCTGAACAAAAATATCTGAATATTGGGAACAAGTTGAATCAACATTGATTAATATTCAAGGCTATGTAATCCCAAATACTTGTCATATAACAATGGTGAGGAAAGAATATATGTTTCTGACAAAGGTAATCATGACAGTGAGCAAACAGGCAGTAACAAAAAGATGGTTAAAGGCAGATGATTAGAGCAGGATTGTGGAGAGAATCTGAATATTAAAAAAAAAAAAAGAAAAACAATCTTTGATTGAAAGGATTTTGTGATGACAAACAGTGGGGAAATGGACCCTACTCCAAAGTGGCGTATACAAGACTGTAGATAAAACTGCATGAATAAGACATGCTTTTATACCAAGGTCATGACATGACAATTTATTTGCATGCTTGTTTTTATTATTGATATAAATGTTACAGACAGCATCGACTGTTGTCGGCGTAGTGATGGAAGAGAAGAGGAGAGACAGAAATTCCCTCACAGTTGCAGATGTTCCTTCTTTTTTATGTGGTTGAGGCTTTTTGTCCAGTGTGACTTCGCTGATGATACTTTAGCCCAGAGGGACCTCTGAATCTCTTCTCACAATGACTGCAGCTGTAAGGCTTTTCACCAGTGTGGTTGCGCTGATGAATCTTTAGCCCAGAGGAATCTTTGAATCTCTTCTCACAATGACTGCAGCTGTAAGGCTTTTCACCAGTGTGGTTGCGCTGATGACTCTTTAGCCCAGAGGAATCTTTGAATCTCTTCTCACAATGACTGCAGCTATAAGGTTTTTCACCAGTGTGACTTCGCTGATGAATCTTTAGCCCAGAGGAATCTTTGAATCTCTTCTCACAATGACTGCAGCTATAAGGTTTTTCACCAGTGTGACTTCGCTGATGAATCTTTAGCCCAGAGGAATCTTTGAATCTCTTCTCACAATGACTGCAGCTGTAAGGCTTTTCACCAGTGTGAATGAGTTGATGAATTTTCAGATTCCTCTTCCATCTGAAATGTTTCAGACATTTTTCACAACGATGTTTCTTCTGCAGGCTCTGGGTGAGCTGAACCTGCTGTCCATTGCTGGGA